TATTTTTTTTTAACATTAAAATTCTCTATTAAAAAGAAAATGTTTATAAAATGTTTTATAAATGTTTTATAAAAAGTTATATATATTGTTAAAGTTATTATATTTAAATACCACTATACATATTTAAAATATTTTGGCATGCACCTTTCATTGCATTTGCTATCAATGAATTGTTGCAAAGATTTAATGATGCCAGAAAATATCTCAATTGGCCAGGAGGACAAGAGTCTTAATGTCAGTTCTGTGTAACTGAGTAGCATTTTAACTCCCACTAACGGCCACGCCCTTCGTGTGCGAACACTTGACTGCCTTTTCCCGCTTTTCCCTGTCAGTTTTTCCTGGCAATTCGCCGTTCGCCTTTCGGTTGATGGAGAAAGATGAGAGGGAAAACGATTTAAAATAAATAATTACATAGTTAAACCAGCTGCTGCTGGAAGTTGTCTGGGCGGCTGCCAGGTGGCCACGCCCACTGGGCCGGCAATAAAAGTTTATCCCTCAGCTATGACTGAACATAACGCGGACTCGATTTCAATCTTCTGGTTTCTGCGGGGAGAGTCTCGCTCATGTTTATTCAGTGAGTTTTTGCGCAACCCATCCGTCCTTCACAGAAAAAAAATATAACTAGGATGTTAAGCCACAGGAAAGGTAATGTTGCAAGCGTTTCAAATGTGCAAAAGTTGCAGCAACGATGTCGGTTAAAATGACCAACATCTGTTGTTTTTGTGTTCAAATTAGAAGGACTTCAAATTAGAAGAATTAGAAGAACTGAAAGTTGGATAAATTTGAATGTTTATTTTATTTATTTCAACTCCGTTTCTTGTGTATGGGAATTTTTTACCAGAATTTTTAGAAAATTTATTGACTGAATAGCAAATATCTCATTGTTAATTGTTCAATGTGGAATCCAATTAATTTAACTGATTACTGATCATTTTTTTTATGAACATTCTACAAAATGTTTGTTAATACATGATCAATTTTTCTTGTGACAATTAATCCAGAGCTCAAAACATCACTTTTTTTTTGTTATTTAAAAATATCTGATTGTTTTGAAAAATGGGACTAGTTTTTGTCAGTGCAGCGGGAAATGGTTAGTGTATTGTTAACAAGGAAAATTAAAACGTAAATGTTTGAAAATTAGATTTCGGCCCAAGTCGCTTTTGTTTAGTTGGCTTTAGTTTGGCCTTTGCCTCTCTTCCTCCTTCCCTCTTCCCTCTTTCCCCTTCCCCTTTTCTTTCGTTTTTCTCCTTTCATTCTCCTCCCACCTCTTTCTTTGTGCTTTCTATGTGTGTGTGTGTGTTCAGTGAGGTGTTGCCTAGTTTTCGGCTTGTTAGTTAGTTAAAAGTTTTTGCGTGCAATTAAAATGCTGCGCAAAAAGTTTCCTTCAACATTGTTCTTAATTTTTTCCTTGGTTTTTGCAGTTTGCCAAAGCCAAATACAAATGAACAACTATTGTCTGAGCCCCTCATGTGTGTGTGTGTGTATGTGTGTGACTGTGTGTGTGAGTGTGCGTTAGCCTGCAGTCGGAAAAGTGTGGAAAGTCCTGTGGCAATTGTCTGATTGTTTTCTTAGCCGCAGCAGAAGGAGCAGCATTCGATGGCAAGAAAGTTCGTTATCAGTGACATTTCGGCGTATAAATAGCAAACAGTGAGCACTCCCCAAAAACACCCAAGTTCTACACCAAAACACTAACCAGTTCGCCCAGCCATTCCCAGTTATCACTGCCTGCACTGAGAGAAATATCATGGCGAATGCAGAGGTTTAACATGTCAGTTGAGTTTTATTGTTATTTTTTTGTATTAAATAACTTAAGTGTTGTGATAAAGTATTAATAGATATATATATTATCCGTTTATTCAGAAACAGAACTATTCTTTAATTACTGGAATATATTTAAAACTTTATTAAATTATGTTCAAGTAGAACAGTACTTTTGACCTGCATTAAGAACATTATTAAAGGATATATTTAATATTTGATATATTTGTTTGTGTAATAAGGCCATTGAAATTTTTCCAAAAAGAAGAATTCAAAATTGATCTTTATTAAATTTGTATATTTTTATTGACCACTTAGCATGCAATATGGCAATGTATAAGCATTTTTTATGTTTTTCCCTCTGTAATTCTCTGTTCCCAGTTAGCAGTTAGCAGTTAGCAGTTAACAGTTCCCAGTTGCCGTGGCAAACGTGCTGGCAATGTCAATTGAAATGAATATTCTAAGCAGCTGGGCCACAAGATTTGGAGGACCAAGGAACCGAATCCTGAGTCCCCAGTCCTGAGCACTGTGTTTGCACTTCGTCGATGGCGATGTCGAGCAATTAGGAAGTGAATCACAATTTCCAAGATATAAATGCTCCGAGTGCTATGGCAGGCAATTTAAGTAAATAGAAGGAATGCAAATAAAATATAGAGATTGCCGCTGGCTTAGCAATAAATATTGTTCATTTCAACGGGGTTCATGGGTACATCTTCGATGAAAGCATGTGGTATTTATAGAATATTTATTTTTACGACTATTTAATATGTATGTAAATGAATTTTAGTTCGCAAATAACTTATTAGCTTTATTTAAATGTGTGTAGATTTGTCTATTTCTGTTTTTTTTTAAATTAATACTCACTTAATTGTTATTAATTGAACAAAAAGATCAAGAGTAAGTTGGTGCACTTGGAGCTTAAATTTGCAAAAATAAAATTCGACATGCGAATGACACTTCTCCGTCGCTGCGTTCTCTTCTGCGAAATTGAATCAATTGCTGACCGCAAAACCACGGGCAAAAAGTCTGCGGAAAAATATGATTCATGTGTGTGTGAGTCTGGCAAAAGGAACCGCACAGCCCGATGACAGAGAATATGCATTTTTCACCAATGCGCACTCCTCCCCCTCCCGAAAAACTCGATTCTTGGGAAAACTGACAAAACTAATTGCCTGGGCGGCCGTAAACAAAAAAGCAAAATTCACTACATACTTTGCGGCAGTCAGCGAGGCGAATTGAAAATAAAAATCTTAACAAAATAAGCTAAAAGCTGAAGAGTTGCCGAGCGCATTAAATCATTTCCGCACTGCAGAGCAGGCAGATTCTTTTGGCTTGTTCTTGTGTGGCAAGTCGCAAGTCGCAAGTCGCAAGTCGCTGGTAGCAAGTTGCAGGCAGTTGCAGTTTACCACTATTTATGGGCTGCTGCCGGGGGAAAAAGATGAAAAGTGTGTCTCCGTTCCTCCATTTCCCTCGGTGGCAGAAAAATGATTCCCCCGAAAAAAAAAAAGGAAAAGTATCCTGCTTATATACTATGTGTATATGTACACACAGAGTCAGTCGTCCGATTAGCGCATTCATGTGTGTGCATGTGTAACATATTCAGGCAATTACTGCCATTCAGCGCATTTCAATTCAACTTCAAAACTGCCTTGCCTCTGCCCCAGGTTTTCCTCCCCCAGTTTTTCCCCGGCTTTTCCCAAAATTTCCCCCGACCCGGTCTGTGTTGTGGCTAAAGAAGAAAAAAAGCTTTTAAACTTCACTCAAGATTTTTGCCGTTCACGCTCGGCTCGCAAATTTTTTGACTGTCGCTGCTCACTTAGTTTTCCCTTTTTTCACTAACCGCCCGAATTCTGCACTATGGCAAAGAAAACGTGATTTTTAGCTTTTAGGTGAACCTAAAATTTCAAAAATTAATTATAAATAAATGAATCAAAGCAAAACAATCTGTTATACTGTATGTGTGTCTAAAATGGCGTACAATTTAATTCAATGGCTTGTTGATGTTATTGAAATATGTCACACATCTGTTGGTAAACAAACACACTTTGTGTAAACGTCTTAATTTCTGAAGTCAAATAATTTAAAAATAAACTTCAGTATTTTAATAACTTTATTTGATTTACAGCAATTTTCCATGAAATTTATTTGGCAATTTTGCGTTAATTTCCTCCACCGTTCAGCATTCTCATAATTTTTGGGCATGCATGCTCACTGCTTTTGCTTCTGGTTCTTCTTGGATGTTCAAAACTACTACTGTATATATCCTACTGCCTCTGCTGCTGTCTTTATCTACGACTGCCACTTTATATATATATGTTTGTGGCACAGAAGTGATCAAAATAATAGTTTCGTAGCAATTTTCTTTTGTTATAATATACTAACGAAAATTACTTTGGTTTTTGTATAGTTAAAATTTGTTTGACGGATATTTCTTACATTTGTATTGTAATGTTGCAATGGTAAATTACATAAATAAATTTAAAGAAAATGTATGACAGTGGCATAACGAATTATTGTGCTAAATTAAATTATTAAAATTTACTGTATCAACTTCAAAATACAAATGCTTTGTTTCGGCTAGTTTTCTTAATATTTTTCAAATTTCACTACTATTATTATGACCGCAATCGTATGTACACATGTACTTGTGAAAATGCTGCTTTTCCTTCATCATTTTCTTTCACTTCATTTTGTTGTTGGGCTTTTACTTTGTTGCCTGTATGTGTATGTGTGTGTGTGCCTGTCGTTTTTATAAGTCTGTCAAAATGTAGTTCATATATTTTGGCGAAAATTCATTTTGCAGTTGACATAACTTTGTCAGCCCCAATTTATCAACAACAATTAGTAGAGCAGAGCGGACCCCACTGACTTGACTGACAAGTGTGTGTGGGTGTGCTGTAAGAATGTGTGTGTGTGTGTGTGTGTGGCATGGCAAGTATGTGACAAGTATTCTGAACAAAAACTTTGTCTTCCAAACAGAGACTCTCACTCGACTCACTTGACTTTCTGGCCCCGAGAACTTTGAAAACAGCTCGAGAAGACGCATTTGGTCGCTGCCTGCATACTGGTCGTATGCGTAATATTGTAATGCCAAAATAATGTGCATTTGGAAAATTGCTGTCACATAGGAGCAGCGGGAGCAAAAAGCGACAGCGACAGCAATAGCACACATCAATTGTCAAGTGCCAGCTCAGCCAGCTGGCTTATTAAACTACAATTTGCCACCTGAGCTGACAACTCACCTGTACTCGTGCGACATGAAGAAGGTGCCCCGGATCAGACAGCCATTGGGATTCTTGCGCTTGCCGTCGAAAATCTTCAGGTAGTGCTGGTAGTTATTCAGATTCACTGCCCCATCGAAGGTCAGCATGATAATTTGGGGGATCTGCAGAGAGTGATTAAGAATAAATGCGAGTTAGTTGGCTTCTAAAAAAAAATATTTCCAATTTAATTATTTTCGTTTTTAAGTAAGTGCACGTTTAACGTTTCGTAATAGTTACCATTTTATATTCCTCAAAAATAAGTTTAAGGTACCAACTCTTAACCAATAAACGAATATTCGTACCACAAAAAACTGTACAAATACTTCATTTACAGTAAAATCAGTGCTGTTTTTTTATTTTTCAGTGTATCAGTTAACTAAAATTATAGTTATAATTAACGGAAACGACAACTAATGCCTACTAAAAGTACACAACAACAAAATTTACTTGATTGTTAAAATGTTCGCAGTTAATTTAACACTCATTACAGCACAAAATGCAAAAACTGAATAAAATGTAACATAATTTTTAGGTATATTTACTGTAAATGTAGTGATCAATACATATTAGCACTCTTGTGATTGCATTGAATAGTTTAATGTGTTGTTTTGTAAGCACTTCCTTATAAAAATAAATCTTACCCACCACAATCTTCAACTCTAACCGAAAATCCCCTAATCATGTGATTTGAACATTTTCCCTGTCTCCAAATAAATATAAGCACTTGCAGCCACATGAGTATGTGAGAGAGGGGAAGGGGGGTGGGGGTATATACATATATGAGTAGGTAGGTGGGCGTTTGTGTCCAATTAGAGGATTGCCGACCTCAAAATCAGCCGGGCATACGATGGCATTGGAAGCCGCAGCAGCAGCTCTAATTGAAGGTTTTGCATTTGGCGTTTGTTTTTCCTGTCTGCGTTGCGCCTGGTTGCGCATTTCCCAACCACCTTCAAACCACCCATCCATCCCGAAGGCAGCCGAAAGCACCCAAAAACCACCCAAAATCACCCACTAAGCCCCACATTTTGCAGCTTGAGCATTAAACATAATTAGTGGGCATGTGGGCAGCAGGCGAAAAGGGAGCAACTAGCAACTAGCAACTTGCCACTTGCCACTTGCAACCGGCGACTGCGAACCAATTCACAAAACCAAATTAATTTCAAATAATGCCCGACTATCAATAACACCCAAAAGCAACATCCGCACGGCGAATTCCATTACAAAATTGCCACCCAAAAATATGGACACTGAAACGGGAATCAACCAAAGCCAAAGCCAAACTCAAACTCAAACTCAAACCCAAACCCAATCTCAAACGAAACCTCTGTAGTTGCAGCGTTTGGTGTTTTTATTTCACTTGCAACACTTTAAGTGCAATTCCATAATCAAAGACCGCCGAGTGCAGTCGGAAAAGAATGAGCGAGGGAAAAGTAATAATAATGCTAAAGAAATGACGCCCCACAAAAACATGGGATTTTCAGTAGTGGCAAAGTGGATCAAAATTTGCAGATACTCTAACTGAGTTTATGAATTTATGGAATTTATGCATTTTCAAATAGGTGGCAAGGGCTTTGATACTAATTCCACTCCCCAGTTAGTTTAAGAACTGCCAAGATAGGGCTCTTGATTATATATTATATCCTTAATGACTTACAATTTTACAACTAATCTAAAAATAAAGAAATAAGCAAAGTCTATAATAAAGCCAACATACTCCCCAAGAAAACTCGAATCTCGAGGGTCAGAAAAGAAAGGCAGGGAAATAAAATCGTGGCTGGAGGAAAATCGGAAATGCATTTCGCATTTGGTCCGAGAACTGGCCATAAAGGCGGTTGGCACGGCGGCAGGAACGCACTTAGTGCTCATTGTAGGACACATAAAAAGGATTATTGTACAAATTCAATATTAATGCGGTCGAAAGGAGGAGATGACTATGACTATCACGATGGCGATGGCGGTGGGCGATGATAATGATGGGGTTGGTGATATGGATGATGATGATGATACTTCCACCTAACCGAATTGAGCTGGCAAAATTATGCAGGGGCGTGAAACACTCGGCGGTCAGTTTAAGTGCGGCTTAGATGACAAGTCGGCATTGAATTGAAATTGAAATTTGCGCTTCGATTTGACGGCTTTTCATATTCCTCCTTATTTTTTGTCCCCTTTTTTTCCTTTTCTCCTCTATCTTTCCCGTCTTTCCATCATTCCATCTCGTCTTATTGCCTTTCGCTTGGTCGCCGGCTTTATTGAAAGGCATATTTCAAAGGCGCGTTTCCGCAAAATGAGTGCAAATCAACTGCAAAACTTTTCCCCTTCTCGCTGAATTATGAAGTAAAAATATTATTGCAAATATAATGAATGTGAGGGGCGAAAGGAGAGCGAGAAATGGAACTAAAGCAAATCATAAATTTCAAGCTTGGACCAAGTTTACGTGCAGAAAAAAAAAAGGATGAGGGAAAAAGTGTGCAAGCCATTGTGGGCCGTTTGAACTTTATGCGATGGCCATATTGCTGAATCGCCGATTACCTGTCGTCCCAAAACCCAATTGCATTTCAAGTTCTCAAACACAGAAATCGCATGCATTTCCACATCGAATTTGTGGCCAAGAAGTTGGCTCGGCTTTTGCTTAAATTAATGTTTGTAAGTGTTCTAGGAATCAGCTTCCTTATATTCAAGCCCTTTAAAGTATATTATACTTACTGTAACACAGTAAATTTATTATAAATTTATGACTATACATTAGGGGCAACTCTGCAGAAATTAGTAGATTTTGGATTATTTTTTTTAAGCAAAAAACTGTGAGTTTTGGTATTTAGAACAGAGAGTGAGATACAAATTAAATACCATTAAAATTATTTTATTTTAGAAAGAAAGAACGTGATATTAATTTAAAAAAATGTATTAGAATATAAATAAACAAAGAAAAAAATTGATCAATTTTAAAGAACGTTAAAAAAGACTGTTGAATTTTCAAAGCGTCTTATTAGTTTATTACAAATAAATTGCAGATTAAGTTGCCAAATAGATGTGGTGAATCACTTTTTATTGCAATTTTTTTTAAGGCCATTACTTAAAGATTTTAAATATTTTATTTTGGGGAGATCTTAAGGTATAGAAAACTGGAACTATGTGACCTGAGTAAATAGTAGATGAAAGTGCTGGAATATTTCCTCTTGCTCTTCTGTGTGCGTTGATAATTTTTGCCTAATGCGACTCAAGTTTGCACTTTAGTCTTTCAGCAAATATGGCAGCCGAAGAGTTGGCTGGTGGGAGCAGCCACCCCGCGGGTGGGAAATCGGAAAAGGATGGCTGGATAATAGCGCGTAGAAGTTTCCTCCGTCGTCGAGGATTTCCAAGTGTTTGGGTGAGATCGCGGGGGGGTGGAGGGGAACGGGCCTGGCAAATTTGCATAGCTCAGTTGCTCAATCGCAGCGACAATTGAGCGGCTCATTGATTGCACCACCCATTTGCCATTATCCATTTGCCATCAGCTCCACTCACTACTCACCACTTAGCCAGCCATCGGGGCATCCACAAACTTTTTGTTGACACTGTGCCATCTTTTCATTTCATTTTCCCAAATCAAATTCGATTCGCTTTCAAATTGAGCAAAAGCGGTTTATTTAACGCCTCGCCTTGGCCACAATTTAAACCTTTGCAATGGCTCATACCATCACCTTGATTTATGAAAATATTAAATAAGTTTTGGCAATATAAATCTGTTTAACTGGGCCGCAACTGTTATTACTTTAATGGCTTAAAAATCGTTTAGTTTTAGGGAAATTTAAAATCGATATTTATTAAAATTTATTAAGTAATTATTTACTGTCTATGACATTGTAAATGTATTTCATAAATAAATATTTATTTTTGGGAAAAAAAACCTTTACATATTGCAATTTATTATATTTTGCATAAATCTCAAATTATTTAATTTACTTCAAAAAAGTATTGTTATGTTCGCTTAACTTCTCACTATACACATTTGTATAATAGAAAGAATAAAGCTCGAAGGAGCTATTTTGTGACATTTAATCAAGTTTATTTTAGGATAACGGAATGTTAATATTACTATTTTAAATTTTAAATTTGATAATTTGTTTCATTTGATAGTTTTAAGGGAAAAAATAGATTAGAAATTTGTATTAAAAAAAATTTATTTATAAATGCGTGTTTATTAACCGTTTAAAATTATATTTAATTAGGGTAATTTAATGTTCATAATTTTGCCGCCCAAGTTTTCGTTTGCCTTGCGGAAATTGGTAGCACATTGTGAAATGGAGCGATACGGTAATTAAAAGCGAAAAAATAAAACGAAATGGGGAAAAGCAAAGTGATATGATGAGCGAAAGGGGGAGGCGAAGGGCTAAAAAGACAAAAGCTGAGAAGCCATGGCCCACGCGGCGTATGCGTAGTTTGCGAGCCCAAATCAAAGGAACTTTTTGGCATACACAAATTAACCGCTTGTTTGCGGTTAATTGAGATAATATTAATTATAATTATGCCCACACACTCACACAGATACACACAAGCACACACACATATAGATAAAGATTCAGTTAGCAAATGGAATTATTTTGGGGCTTGCGTTACTGCGAACACATGTAAGCGCTAATAACACTTAAATAAGCACCGCCAAACACACATACACACACCCTCACCCATACACTAATAAACAACTGACGCACACACACACACACATAGGACAAAACGGATGGCAAGGACAAACATACATTTCAATTTCGAAATTAAGTGGCTCACTTGTCTTGTTTGTATTTGAATGCGTGTATTTGACTGTCTGTGTTGATGCATCCGCGAGATTGTGTGTGTGTGTGTGCGTGAATTGTGTGTGGATTTGTTTGTATGTTTGCGATTTGCGCATATATTTGTATGTTTGCCCCACCACATAAACATCCGCTTTGCTCTCAACCTATATTTGCTTGGTTATTTTTACCGTCAAGTTATACTCTTCATATAGAGCATATATATCGTAAAAAATATATAGTTTGACTAGAGAAACTTGTATATTGATATTATTTTCGAGGAGTATTGTATCCCATACCTATGACATTTGATTAAAACAATACAATTTAATACTTTTCCTTCGACTAATTCCTAATGATGAAAAACGCTGCTAAAAACAAATACAAGTTTCTTTTAAACAGTAAGGTTTTCTCATATTGATCTACCTTATTGTCACAAATGCTTCGTGTTTATTACTACGACAACATTAAATAATTTTGTTATAATATTTTCCATATAGAATACGATTCCAGATTAGTTGGGCAAACTAAGTGTTATTTTCCTTTTTCATAATTTTTTATATTAATCCTTCGATAATTGGAAATTATTTTCCAAATGGGCTAAATAGCTTTTAGATGTAGTGCCCTTGATAAAGATTATTCAAGAGAAGTATCAACAAAATAATCAGAAAACTAAATTAAATATCAACTAAAACATTAATTCAATAAATCTCCATAAATCTTTTGAAAAGCATTCGCATTTCGGCATTCCTAGGGTAATAAATATTTTCTGAATGTCTCTTTATTATTATGCAAGTGAAACCACAACTAATGTGCACCGCAAACTGTCTGTCAATTTGCCAGAAGAGAAGGCACAAGTCAAAGGGCAAAAGGGGGTCATATGTGCATTTACTGATTTTTACATGCTAAATAGAGGCAAAAGTATAGCAAAGGAAATATTTAACAAATGATTTGAGCTAGTGAGCATCAGCATTTTTCCAAAGCAACTCTTTTGAAAACGTAACAAAATCAAAGAAAAGCTTAGACAAAATAAAATGACTTTAAAGTAACAGCCTTAAATGCATAAAAGTTGTAAGGCAATTTTATGAGCTTTCCGGCTTGCTGTTGCCATTGCTATTTACACCATGAGCGCATAACTCTTGGCCAAATAAACAAAGCGTAGTTATTAAACAGGATATTCGAATCAACAGGAACACCAGTAGCAACAGCAACACCAACAGCAACAGCAACAAAAACAATAACTGACAACAATAAGGAGGGGACAACAGCAAAAACAACAGATGGCAAAAAGTACAAGAGCACAATTTCCTTATGCAAAGCGACGATAAGAGCAAACCGAATGCAAATACATAGATTTATAGCCACAGAACACGGAGAACTGGAATCCAGAGTAGAGCTGGAATCCAGAAACCTATATCCCATCCAAAGCGCTGCGATCCACAGCTGCCATAGCCCCAGTTCTGTGTCGTAAAAATAAAAGCTGTCAATGCACTTGAAATTTATCGCCCTGCAAATTAACACTTAAATGCAAAATGGAAAAATGGAGAGCAAACAAGTAGCCGATTTCTTTTTCGCCAAAAATCGACTGACTGATGTCCTATACTTTGCAAGGCTAACAAAATTACCCGGCAATTACTTCATTCATAGAGTTTGAGGTGTTATTTTGTGTGATAATTGCATTTATGCGTGGCGAAAGTTTTTCAAAATATTTGCAGAGGAAATTGAATCGATGAAAGTTTGTTGGTTACATTTAAATTTGCCTAGGTGTTGATTTGTCAATGAATATTGTCAATATTAACAATAAAGTGTATCAATACAAGGTATTTATTATTATTTGTTCAAATAAAATTAGGAGCTGATTATCAATAAGCGCCTTAAAACGCCTTTGTCTCCCTTTAATTACATTTTACACGATTGTAATGTGCTAGAGAAGCAGATATACAACTTTTGAATTTATTGAATGTTTGTCTAGTCTTTCAATAAGTTATTATAAATTAAAAAGTTTTTTGTGGCTCCAATTGTTAAAATGTATAATTTCTTAACGTTCTGAACAGAAACGTTTAAAATACAATGAAATGATTAACATTTTAAATACTAAAAAACGTTTAAAATACAATGATATGATTAACATTTTGAATACTAACAAGAAAGGAAAGCTAACTTCGGGCGGAGCCGAAGTTGATATACCCTTGCAGAATACTCTGTAAATTATATTCTCCAAAATTATTCATATGATGCATTCTTAATACTCATAAAAAATCCCAACTTCCTAACTTTAAAAATACCAAAGTTATGGCATTTCCAATCGTTCAGTTATATGGCAGCTATAGGATATAGTCGGCCGATCCTTATGAAATTTGGTAGGTCGGATTGGCTGGCCAAATATAACACCCATAGAAAATCCCAACTTCCTAACTTTACAAACACCAAAGTTATGGCATTTCCGATCAATCAGTTATATGGCAGCTATAGGATATAGTCGGCCGATCCTTATGAAATTTGGTATGTCGGATTGAGTGGCCAAATATAAAACCCATAGAAAATCCCAACTTCCTAACTTGACAAACACCAAAGTTATGGCATTTCCGATCAATCAGTTATATGGCAGCTATAGGATATAGCCGGCCGATCCCGGCCGTTCCGACTTATATACTGCGTGCAAAGGAAAGAAGGGTGTGTGCAAAGTTTGAATTCGATATCTTTAAAACTGAGAGACTAGTTCGCGTAGAAACAGACAGACGGACAGACAGACGGACAGACGGACAGACGGACAGACGGACAGACGGACATGGCTATATCAACTCAGGAGGTGATCCTGATCAAGAATATATATACTTTATAGGGTCGGAGATGTCTCCTTCACTGCGTTGCACACTTTTGACCAAAATTATAATACCCTCTGCAAGGGTATAAAAATATAGTTTTCTTTGTGATCAGATAAATTTACTATTGATGGTCAAACAGCATTTGGGTACGATATCTAACATGAATATCTTTGGATTTCTCTTTATTTCTTAAAACTAGTGTATATTAAATATTTTTTATTAGCTAGAGAAATAAAGAAAAGTGGTAAATTAACATTGGTATACGAACAATTTTAAAGACAATCTTTACGTAAGCATATTTTTGTATGGCAATATCATCATAAGTAAGTTTAACTAATATAAGTGCATTTTTTTATAAATCTGTTCGATGTTATAGGTTCTTGAAGACTATCAATGTTCAATATCTGATTATGAACTAATATATGTTAATTTTAAAGTCATTAAACTTTTTTGTCTTTAAATTTATACAGTTTTTTTCTATAAGCAAGGTATTTCTACACCAGCAAATTTGTTTTTTAAAAAATCCAATTAGTTGCTTATACTTAATGTCTACTGCATTGTTTATATACTCCTCTTTTTCTGTAAACAAAGTCCTTCTACACAAGCAAAATTGGTAAAAAAAAAATCCAGTTAGTTATATATATGTATATATATTATATACTATATTATTATATACTCTTTTTTTTCTGTAAACAAAGTCCTTCTACACAAGCAAATTTGTTTAAAAAAAATCCCATTGGTTGTCAAAGTCCACTGTATTGTGCATAGGCACTTACTGATATTCACTTTATTGGGTATGGAACACATATGCCCCTCTTGCTACCCTGGCAGCACCTGAGTGCCCACCGAAACCGACATATCCCTGGGAATCGCCACCGATCCCATCCAACCCACCACCCAGTGCTACTACTTACCTTCTCGGGCTCCAGGTTGTCGGGTATCTGGGTGCCGTCCTTGGAGCAGAAGCAGTAGGGCAGGGCGCAGTTCTCCGTGTCGCACCGCTGGGCGGTGTCTGCCGGCGCTTCCGTGACAGGGGCGGGGGCTGGAAAGAGGAGAGGGGGTAGGGGGGAAGGGGGTCGCAAATCAGTTTGGAAATTATTTAAAATCTATTTCGTTATGCGGGATCCAATCCCAGGCCAGATGCTGGGCGGTGGAAAGTCAACAAGTCAGCCGGCACAATGCCGGACGAAATGTCAATAAGCAGGCAATCCAAGGCGAGTGTGTGCAAGAAACAAGTTAAAAGAAAGTTAACAACAGGCGGGTGAGTGAAGGGGGATCAAAGTCAAATAACCTTAAGCCAAATCCCGAGTACCCGAGCTTCGAGCCCCTCACCTCACCCTCAAAAGCTATTTGCATATGTGGGCGGTGCTTGGGCGTGGCATCTGGATGTGATTGCGAGCCGAAACTCAATCGAATTCAATTGCTTTTTTCTCCACAGAGCCCCATCCTCAGTGGCAATCAGTTGTTCGGGCCTGGCTTGGTTTGGTTTGTTTTGTTTTGTTTTGTTTTGCGATCGAGTAAACAAATTCGCTTTAAGTTCGCAAAACAAAAGGTGAGGCCAAGACAGGGGCGATGTTCTTTGGCAAATATTAAATGCATATTCGGAGCATCCGGCAGATGCACTAACCGAATTAGCACTCGCCATGGATATGGATGCGCCATCGAAACTCGTGCCCGGAGGCGTTGATTTGATTTGATTTCGAGTTCGACTTGAAGTTTGGCTTCCAGGGGTCAAGAGAATTTCCCAGTGCCTTCGAAGGGTTAAGAGACGTGTGTGTGTGTGTGTGTAGTGTCCTGTCAAATATTGTCATCAAAATCCTTGCCAAATAAAAAATGAATTATCTGAAAATACTCTTTTCTTTTACAACTTATCTTTATGATAATCTGAATTCAAATAATTAGCTAATCTCATGTTTTGTGATTCAATTGTTATAAACAGAATTATTAAATTCATCCCGACCAATTAATCATCCCAACCAGTTAGTCATCAATCGATTTGCAAATGTAAATTCTTAAGACATCAACTTCCTTCTTCGGAATTATGTTATCGAAAATAAATGGTGAAATGATAGTTTTTTCCTAATTCCCGGGGTATGTCATCAATCAATTCCATTCAGTTCCACTTCCCTTTTATTGTTTTTCTTCTAAGAATTTTTGGGCAGGAACTTAAGCCTCTTCTTTGGTGTTGAAGTGAAATCTACTTGAAGTTTTCATTTCGATTGAGCCTTTCGGCAATGCTTAACTGGGATTTAATTACACAGTCTCAATGTTATGCAAATGAAAAGCCCAATCCACCAACAAAAACCAAAGCAAATATATATAAAAGTATATAAAGTAAAGCTCTCTGTATTTGGCATTGATTTGGTTTTTGTAATGTGTCTCTGTTCTATTTTTTTTGTTTACTTTCTGTGACTCCTGTTCAATCTGTTACCTTGTCTGACCGTAAAAAGCGAACAATAAAACTAATAAACAATATATATGAATGAGTTTTCATTTAGGAGTTTTTAAAATATTAACATAGTATTTCTGATCAGATTGCTGGGCGAAATGGAAAAATAAATAAAAGTAAAACCGGAAAAGAAAACAAAATAAATGCTTGTGGCATATCAATGCCTTTTGAAAAATATTTGTGGTCACATCATAAATAACAGCAATGAAAATGAAATGCTTGGCAATTAATTGGCCAGGACACAAACACACATACACACACACATACACACACACACACACACACACACACACAGAGACACACAGGACATGACTGCAATCAACATAAATTCTCTGGGGTTGGAAACCAAACTCTTTGCCAACCATCCTGTCCTGCTTTTCCAACAGAAAGTAAATGCATAAAATTTTATTATTTCAAAAAGAAACTTCAAGAATTCTACACTCCCTCTCGCACTGTCTGTCCCTGTCGCACCGACTAGTGCCGTCTCGCTCCAAACTTGTGCTGAGTTATTGAATAAAATGTAATAAACACTTTTAGTAACTTTGTCTTATGCATTTTGTCGTCGGTGGACGGACAACGATTCACATTTTCGCACACGATGCGTATACGTAATATTTGGCTACTGCCACTCCATCCAGCAGCTGTTGTTGTTGTTTTCTTGATTTTTTATACTGTACAGTAAATGTCCCATAAGAAGAACTTGTACATAACAAAACAGTATTCAAGTAATGTTAATTTAATAGGTAAAATTTACAGGTGATGTCGTTAATAAAAGATTTTTAAACCCCATCACTAATTTGTAATTTCCAAAAAAATAAAATCAACGTTAAGGATGGGAAAAATAATGAATCTTGGCATTGTAACTGTGTGATAATTGTAAAATAATAGTGATAAATAATTGAAATGTTAGGAGCTTACGTAGGAAATACTATTATTGTTATTTAATAGAGAGTGCACTGCACTTGTACACAGTATAGTTTTCGATACTATTTTTCCCAGCTATTTTTGCTGTTCGTGTGTGCGGGTGTTACTGCTGTTGTTGTTGTGTAAGCAATATTGAAATGCTGTCATTGAGCGTGCTCACTGAATTATGAAATTGAAAACTATTCAGTGCAAAACATTTTTCTTTGAATTTTATCAGCTCAGCTGTGTGCTTGTGTGTGCGTGTGGCTGTGGGTGGAAAATCAGCTTGTCATTTCCTTGGACAAGCTGCCTGTCAAGCGTTCTAACCCTTGCGAAAATACAACTGCCTTTAAAAAAGTGGCTTAAATATTTTAATTCGTGTCTCGCCTTGGCCAAATCAAATCGAAATTAAATGAAATGAATTCGCATTTATATGCACAATGTATTGCATATATTTCAGGGCACACACACATGTCGCTTTTTGCTTATTTATTTTGGGGACAACTTGCTGTCACAATTTCAAATTCAGTTGAGACTCGTTGCGTATACGCAATTCGTCAGTCGAGATTTGAGGACAGCATTTTGGGGAGGGGTAAAAGCAGGGTTTGCAGGGGACTACGGATGTCGGGGAGGAAGTCTTTCGGCTGGCAGAGCTCTTAATCCTCGGATGGCTTAGGCAGTTGGCAGCTGGCTGCAAAATTAAAGTGCCTGACGATTATAGGCAATCAGTTAGTTTGGTTCACTCATTTCAAGGAAAATGCTTTAAATTATAAAACAAAATACCAGCCCAAAATGGTTAGGTGGGATTTAATGGATGGCAAAATGTGAAGATGAATGTTGGCTGCACGGACGACTAAGTACTTACTTTGAATAGGGATAACTTAAAACCGACTATCTGCAGTTTTGTTCAATATATTTTGCATCTTTATAGCCAGACTTAAGTTTAAGAGAAGTAACATATTCATAGTAAGTTTATAAATAAACTACTAGATAAGCTGGAAATATAATTCTTGATCTGTTCATACATTTGGTCCTGCAGAAATTAAAATATTCTGTGACTAAAAAGAACTCGAAAATCTGATTCCCAAAAAATATATATACATATACATTTGCGGCGGAAACTACCCAGCTATATCTATGTATCAGCTGAAAAAAGCGGGAACAAATTTTTATGCACAGAGCTTTGACCTAATCTCTGCTGCAATATTTCGCCTCTGCGTGTGTGTGTGTGTGAAAAGTAGAAGAAAAGTAATAACATAAATGACACACACAGACAGACACACACACAGGGAGCTATTTATATGGGACAACATTCCAGTTGGTATTACGCAAATCCCCAAACGCTTTAGCTGTCGCAGCTTTCTTCCAAGCGGTTGCCTTCCGACCGACGACCGACGGACCGGGATCAGCATCCGTACCCGTAAGCCGCAACCCCCAGCATCTCCCCCCCCCCCCGCCGCCCCTACTCCCCTGGCCATTACCCTCCCTTTTCCGTATCCAAAAAAAAGACGTGGTAGACGCAGTTGCAACCGGAATGGCGACTACTGCAAAAGTGCGTGTTTGCATGTGAGCGATATGTCACTCGGCATATGGCTGTATGTGTGTGTGTGTGTGTGATTCACCCCCTTGCCACGCCCTACCGCCCCTTTTTAGAGCCCTTCTCATACCCGCTTTCTAACACTGCACACTGGGCCAACAAATTGAAAGATAGGCTAAAACATAATTTTGTTCCTTAAATAAATATAATGCTCTCTCTTTTAATGTAGAAAATTATATTAATGGAATTTTTATGTAAAAAACATAAATTATAATTTAGTAAACATATTTTAACTATTTAACTGTGAAGTTATTTATTAAATATGAAGTAAATTTATTCTTTGATCAGAATCACAAGCCAAAAAATCTCCGAACCCAAACTATATGAGCTAAGTCACTTGGAATTTGTAATTTAACGGCTGAACCGCTTTTTTATTTTAAAGTGTTTTACATTGTATTGTCTATATAGTAAATAAATCCAATAATTTGTATTGGTTTTATTAAAGATTATTAAGCTGACTAGATATTCGACAAAGAACACTGTTGAAGTATTTTAACTCTAAGCTCGTTTATGTTGCATCTTTGGCCTTTTCGTTGGCTACACTTGGCAAAAACTAAATTTTCGTAAATCAATAAAAATCGGCAAATCTTCCTTGTTTTCCAACATATTCCCATATAGTGGCAAAATATGCACATCTCAACAACGTATTAATCTATTGACCAATAAGTTGACATATGTACCTACTATAGTAGTTGTAGTATAGTACTATAGTTGATATATCAACATATTTCAAAAAATTTCTCAAGTGTATGCTCAAAATAAGGTTTAAAAAAAGGGAAAGGGAGTAGAATGGTTTTCAGCTCTGTAGGTGCACGGAGGCGATGCAAAAGTCCGAGACTGAAGCTGCCGTAAAACTGAAAACTAAATCGTAAATGTAAGCTTTAATGGCCCATACACACACATTTATAGTTGAGGTCGAGATTATAGAACTGCGAACGGCTTTGAATAAATTAAAAATTAGTAAATAAAGTATAATTTTTAATTTAATTTTTTTACATTATTGTGCGTGGTATACACATTAATGTATTTTGATAGTAAAGCAAATTGGTTTTTAAATTGTTAGTTTACTGTGACCCACCTTAAAAAAAATCTAAAAACTAGATATTTGTAATATCAAAAGGTGGAGTTACTTACAATTTTTTTACTTTCAATTAGGAGCTTTATCAAGGGTCCATATCTCACTTACTTGCAAAAAAATAGTAGTTTCCCGTTTGAACTTAGTACTTTAAGTACTATCAGTACAATCTCAAAATATTTTTTTTATAACAAATTAAATAGCCTTCAAGCTTAGCAGTGCTATTTTTTCGGCCTAGAGTGTGTAGATGAAGGGAGGACGAAAGATAGACTTGGTTATTCTTAAGCGGTCGCGTTTGTGCCCCATTTGAAGTGCACTCAATGTTGTGGGTGGTCGGGTGGTGTGCCAAAGTACTTGGCATTCATCTTGGCAATGGCTCAACTACCGCCACGCCCCCTTTTTCACCCAGCCGCCCTTTTCCCTGCGGCAAGGTGGCCCTTTGGGCAGCGTCGTTAGGCAAGTCAATAGAGCGGACAATGTTTGGAATTGTGTCCCCGGAGTTGTGGCCACCATTTGCTCATTGCTTTTGTCATCGAGTACATTTCGATTTCGATTTTGGTTACGTTTCAATTTGGTTTTGGCCAGCACAATCGCAAGAAAACACACACATTTTGTAACCATAAATGAATTATGCGACATTTACTCAAAATTGCTTCCTAATGCACAACATCCGGCCTGAGAAATTTCCTACTCTTTGTCTCTGTGTGTACAGATGAAAAAATGCGGATATTTTTATATAAAAAATAAATCAATTTACGCCTTTTTATGTAGTTTTTAACAACTAAATTTGTATGACAAATGGTTAGTAAAACAATTTTTGCTTTCTTTAAAAAGCAGATGCCATTTAAAAGTCACATTTTCGAAGTCATTTTTTTTGTTTTCCCCATTTTTTTTGTAGCAGAATGCCCACATTCTGATTTAAGGTTCTAAAAAATGGTAGTCCCAGCATAGCCTGAGGATTATTTTGGCCCAAGGTTCGACTTTATATTATCAGTGGTTTTTGTCCCTCTCAAAACTTCGAATCGTTTAGCAGCCCATACAGAGAGATCTGGGGAAAAACCTGGCCGAAGGAATGGTGGCCACACTTAGAGTGCACTTACAGTTTTTACCCCATTTCTTTGTTCGCCTTGATTTATGTTGCACTTTCTTTCCCGTTCTGGCTGGGATTTGAGACTCTCCTAATCACTTACTTGTTGGTAGAGGACCGCACTTGGCCTCATCCTTGAATGTGCAAAACTTCTGCAGATCATCGAAGAAAAGTCCGGATGGACAGCGGTTCAAATACGGAAATCCATCGACGCACTGTAAGTTGGGTTGATAAAAAGGAGGTAAGTTGCATTAAATGTATATAATGAGGTGTCATTAATTTGAGAAATACAAATACAGACTAAAGGAGTGACACTTACCTGGTAAAAGCGACGACAGGTCGCCGGATCGGCGTAGTTGCCATTGGCGATATGCGAGGGGCACTGGAACTCCTCTTTCTCCTTTCCCTGGGCTGTAAAAGTTTAAGGGAATTAAAAAAGGGATCGGCTTGGCTTACAAATTTGCACAATCATATCGATATTGAACTCCTTTCATTCACTTGTTTTATAAATCACAATATAAAAGTATGTTTCTTTAAAACATGTTTTTGTTGGTTTGAAATGTAAATTTTATTTCTGTTATATTTGTACTGTTTGCATAGCATTTATGAATTAAAATTCATTGGAATGCATAATCCTTTCTGATGTAATTCCATCAAAGAAAAAATTAAATGCATTTTATTATGTATTTAAAAGCCAATTATATAAAATGTAAGCTTAAAGCTATTTAAATATATCGAATGAAATTAGATAGGCTTTTATTGGGCATCCCTACAATTTAATGTCAAAACTTAAAGTTATCAGGGATTCAAACATTCGAATTTTTAGTTTTTAGCAACTCAAATTTTGGGTTCTTGTTAATTTAGAGTTTTAATTAAAATGTTGTAGAAAATCATGGCACCAATCGGATAACTAAATGATGAATGGGCTTAAAATATGTAAAGCATGAATTATATTTATGTTTTGGCAATAGCGTTTTGGCATATAAACAAGGTTAGGTATTTAGTAGAAATTAGGTTAAAAGCTTTCTTTGTAGCAATTTCACAATAATAAGGATAAACAAGATCGGCATGTATATTAATATAATATATATATATATTGATAACTAAAATTTACTATAACGATCAGAAAACGGTCCTTAGTTTTGCAAGCTGATTTATTTTGAAGAATACTGATAATTTAAGTAATAAACTCAAAAATAGTCATTTAAAAAACCGATTTCCCTGCAGCGAGCGAATGCAAATATTCTGGTAAGTCCGACGAATCCATAAGCCACTAGCTGTAACTTTTTTATAAAGTTAAGTTGTGCGTGGAATTTAAATATCCGGCTATTAATTGCGTAATAGACATAATACTTTATGTACGAGGGCATGTTACACATCAGATTTATATGTTCATGTGGGACTGACCGGCAGTGAATACAAACTATAATCGCTGAATGTGTATTCATGATGATTTCGCAGCATAAATGCTCATATATATTTGTTTTTTAATAATCCAAATCTAAGCTTAAAAGGCTTGGCGGCTTGACATTTACAAAAAGCCACAAGATGGGGTGGGCGATAAGCGAGTGAAACAAATAAATAAATAAATAGCAGATAAGTTATAATTAAATGTCGATTTACGCTTTGATCAAGTGGAAAAAAAGGCATCATTTTAAATGCACAAAATAAATAAAGGCGGAAAAAACAAAAATAAATTTATGGAAATATTTCAAACTTCAAACTTAAATCCAACGCCTCGTTTTTGTGGTATAGGACAAGTTTAACTCTAATGAATATAAATTGACTAACAGCATTAGATTAACAGAGGCCTAAAACAACAAACAGCAGAAGTTCAACCCTGTGCCCATTTCCCAAATCCATTGGTCGTTTTTCGACCAAAATGTTTGGTTTATTGGGGGGAAATCGATGAGTTCTAGCGGCGATTAAAATTACGCAGGCCACGCCCACTTTTCCGGTTGACTGCCGCTGAAATTATTCATATTTTGGGACTAAATGTTAATTAAATGAAAACTATTATTGGACACAATTGCATTACGTATACGTGGCGTGTGCTGCGTGTAGTTTCTATTATAATTATAATTATTTGTCAGTTTTATGATTTTTCATTGTTGCCATGCCACGAAAATGGCAATTAATTGATAGCTAAGACCGAAAACCGAAAATAATAAAATGGAATTGAACGGATACAGGCTTTTGAAAAATTCAAATTTAACAGGGGATTAGCTTCAAAGTTTTTTATAAAGTGCCATACATTTCAACAGATTTGGGTTTGGCTTAAAATAAAAAGTAAATGGCATTTAAGTAATTTCCAATATTTTATATTTCGTAACTGCCTATTTCCATAAAATAAAGTTTAGTGAAGCAAAATTTGAGATTTGCTTGCCTTAATTTAAATCTAAATTCAAAAACAAATACAAATTATTCCTATTGTTCATGCCTCATTTGAATTCATGAAATGCGATGCGGAAGAGACTTTGTCGAATGATACTCAAAGATACAATTGGCTTGAAAAATAGTCTTGAATAAATTTTGGACCATTTCTTCATTTGTTTTATTTTTTGTAGTTTATTCTACGAACGCAGGTTTCATATAAATATTTGCTACGATTAAATATAGAATGAAATAAATACGGTTAACCAGATAAATATCATTTCATCGTAATAACAATGAATATTAAATAGTCAGCCGTGAATCCAGATTCGCCCCTATATATTGTGAACTTTCAAAACCAGAGTTAAAATGCAACTAAAAAACTCTGTTGGAATATTTGTCATTGGGTTGGGCCCAAAAAACTGCACCTTCTTCCTAATCTTTTTTTTACTTTTGCCATTTAATGTTGCACTTTTTGCCATGTTATTTATTTTTATTCCAGACTCGCAACCTTTCTTTATTTCTGTGCGATTTCTGATAGCGATTAACAATAAGTGAATAACTTTAAAGGGCCCCACTTAAATTTTTGTCAAACAAAAGCAGCTTTTAGGCTTTCAATAAAAAATCTGAAATATTTTCCTAAAATATTTGAGTGTTGGTGCTTGGTCAATTTATGGTTATTTATGTGTATATTTATCCAACAACAGCAGCGACCACAATGCGGCGAAAAAAGCAACAAAATTGGCAGTTAATTTAAATGGAATGTGTAAAATAAACAATAAAAAGGCAATGCCAGAATTAAATCAAATGGAATTGCAATTCTAAAAAAATAGCAAAAATTATGGGGCAGTGGAAGAGTGTGGCGAAAAACATTTTCATATAATTATTATGGCTAATTAATATTTATTAACCAGTCCAAGCCCACATCCACGTCCAAAAGCACTGGTCGACTCACTGGCAGGAGGCCAGAAGTCATGGCTAATGAGGCGACGTCCTCTAAGCGGCTTAATTTCCCCTTTCCCCCACGATCCCTGATGGTTGAGCTGGAGCAGAAGGAATTCTTGAATTCCTGAATTCTTGAATGGAACAATTTAACTCTGTCGGGGAGTTACTTGTAAGTTGAGCGGGAAGAAACTGCTCGCAGACAATTTCATCTAACATTTTGCAGTAAGTGGCAGGAAAATAGAATAAATACGTCGAAAGTCAATCTCTTTACTATTTAAAAGCTATAATTCTTTGCTCTTTATTGTTGAATTGCTAAAACGAAATCAGTAAAAATATGAATTTGATATGCTTGGTAATTGACAAGTTTAAAAGTTATTTAAGGGGCTAGTTAAGATTTATTTAAATTTATATAACCCGTATTCTTAAAACCTTTTTTAAATTGTCAAACTTTTGTTTAATTCAAATTACACATTTTTCATTCGCATGGTTTAAAAAAAAAAAATAAATTCTATTTTCTTAAACTGTTTTAATGCCCATTGAGTTTTAAAGGCACCTGTAAAGTTTTCCGTTCAATAATATGTCACGAACATCAAGCCATTCGACCTTTTACAGTCATGACGATAGTAAAATACGAAAAATAATAATAATAAATTTATTGCACATTTATTTAAAAGTCATAAGGCCAATTACATGGAAACCTTTTTTTGTTCTTTGCCCTTAATTAAGAAATTGCCAATGCGGAAAATAATAATTAAAAATAAGCCGAGAGCCGTAGCGTTCAAAAGGATACATTTCCCTCTCAACCGCTCTCACTGTTGTCCTTGTCTCGCTCTGGAGAAATTAAATGTGCCCGAGAAAATAAATAAAATTGAGGAACAAAAAACGGGGAAAAACCTGGCGAAGAGCCGGAAAAATCTTTATTTTATGCACATCATGCAATAATTTTTTGTTTTCTGTTTCATTTTTCAGTGATTTTTTTTGGTTTCCCGTTGATGTTTTTTTTTCGGCATTGTTGCTGCTTTGTGATTTTTCCTTTTCTCTGACCATAATTTATTTAACATTTTTGCGAAGGTTTAAAGCGAGAAGGGTGAAAATCGAATAGGTTGCAAATTAAATATTATTCCTACAGAAAAATGTTGAGCCAACGTAAAATATCATTTTGCGGAAACAAATAAACGTAAAATATAATTTTTTGGAAACAAATAAAAAAATTGAGTGAATTTCAATATTATCGTAAATTATTTTCCAGTTATTAAGGTCAAAGATATAGATGCTCGATTCCATTTCTTCGCTTGCATCTTTATTCTTGACTTTATGATTTTTAATTTATCAGTGAATAAACGCAGCGAAAGTATAAAAGGCCTGAAGATCCAAAAAGTGTAAGCAACAAAGTTAAATAAATAAATACGAATGGAAACGCAATCAATCAAGCACAACAAAGTATATACTAATATAACCACGAGTATTTACTGCGAGATCTACACGAACAGTTTTATTCAACCAACTGTGATTGATATACAATTTTGCATTTTTGTGTTATTATTTTTTGATATGGAAAACGTGCACAGCTTTAGTTGCATATAGTTCAAAAATTTAGCGTGTTAGGCAGCCAGTTTGGTTTTTTATTTAATTAACGAGGTTACAATTTTGATAAATAAAACATAAAAGCTTATTGAAAAACTTAATACAACGAAGAATTCGTTTTGTATCCTTTATTACCTAAAGTTTTAAAAATGTACCTAAATAAATTTTTAAAACGAAATATAGCTATGAAATTATAAGTGATTAAATCAAAAAGATATCTTTAAGATTATCAATTGAGCAATATATCTTTTTTATATAATAAAATAAGGAAGCTAATTTTTGAAAATGAGAAAAAATTATGAAAATATTGACAAAATCTTAACTTAAAATATATAGTACTACTTTTCTGCACTACAATTTTATATGAGTTGTGGATATATTTTCTTTAACAACGTGGTGTGCTAAAGTCTTAATTCTGTGTGATAGATTTTCCGAGTAATAGAAAAAGTGTACTTTCAACTTTTATTTGCGAAGGGTATTAAATATTTTTCCTCCTGAAAGTTGAGTTTAAATCGAGTTTCGCTGACACACTTCCATTCTGTTGTTTATGTACAGATATTCACTTAACACATTTCACATTCAGCCTCGTGCCGTCTCTTTCGCGCTGCCCCAATAGCTGTTTCTTTCTTGTGCAACTGATTTTATTTTTTCTTTTTTGTTTTGGTAAAACGTTTTCAGTTGTTATTTGTTGTTGTTTATCCGCTGGTATTTTCAAGTAATTTTTCACGCATTTCTGTGGCTGCTTTGCGCCTCATTTTTCACGCCTGTCCATGTGTTTGTGTGTGTCTGTATCTGTGTGTGTGTTAAGCTGCTTAAATGTTTTTGTCGCTTCCTTTTGCAACATTTGCCATTTTTTTCGCGCTGTGTGCGTGTGTTTCAGTTGCTGCTTTTCTGCATTTACAACACTTAAATTGTAAATAATGCCGATTTGGTTAGCTCGGCGCGAAAGAGACGGCCACAGGGATGGGAGAAAGAGATGGGGCGACTGGAAAACCTCAGTGTTCACTTTTCGAGTGTGTAATGGCCAAAGCCACTTGCCTTTGTCAACAAATTTGCGTTTAAATGCCTCATGTGCCCGCTGTTTCCCCCTTTCCCCACCGTATTCCACGCCCACCAATTCGTTTTAATGTATTTTTAAATTATGTTGATTTCGTTTTCTTTAAGTGAGCGCCACAAAAAAATAAAGAAAATACCAGGAGTGGCAAAAGAAAAGAGGGCCGGTGAACTTAAATGAAATGAATGTGTCGCACTTGAGAGTGATAAATTCCTCTTTCTCTTAATTGGCTTTTCCTTAAGGATAATGAGATTTGGCCTTTTCACTTCATCAGTGCTGCATTTATCAAAGCTGATTTAATTTTACGGAAATATGTATAGAAAAACATGAATAGGCACGGCAAAGTGTGTATTAAAATATTGTGAACAAGAAAGGAAAGCTAACTTCGGGCGGAGCCGAAGTTGATATACCCTTGCAGAATACTCTGTAAATTATATTCTCCAAAATTATTCATATGATGCATTCTTAATACTCATAAAAAATCCGAACTTCCTAACTTTAACAACAACAAAGTTATGGCATTTCCAATCGTTCAGTTATATGGCAGCTATAGGATATAGTCGGCCGATCCTTATGAAATTTGATAGGTCGGATTGATTGGCCAAAAATAAAATCCATAGAAAATCCCAACTTCCTAACTTTACAAACACCAAAGTTATGGCATTTCCGATCAATCAGTTATATGGCAGCTATAGGATATAGTCGGCCGATCCTTATGAAATTTGGTAGGTCGGATTGATTGGCAAAAAATAAAATCCATAGAAAATCCCAGCTTCCTAACTTAACAAACACCAAAGTTATGGCATTTCCGATCAATCAGTTATATGGCAGCTATAGGATATAGTCGGCCGATCCTTATGAAATTTGGTGGGTCGGATTGATTGGCCAAATATAAAACCCATAGAAAATCCCAACTTTCTAACTTTACAAACACCAAAGTTATGGCATTTCCGATCAATCAGTTATATGGCAGCTATAGGATATAGTCGGCCGATCCTTATGAAATTTGGTAGGTCGGATTGATTGGCCAAATATAAAACCCATAGAAAATCCCAACTTTCTAACTTTACAAACACCAAAGTTATGGCATTTCCGATCAATCAGTTATATGGCAGCTATAGGATATAGTCGGCCGATCCTTATGAAATTTGGTAGGTCGGATTGATTGGCCAAATATAAAACCCATAGAAAATCCCAACTTTCTAACTTTACAAACACCAAAGTTATGGCATTTCCGATCAATCAGTTATATGGCAGCTATAGGATATAGTCGGCCGATCCTTATGAAATTTGGTAGGTCGGATTGATTGGCCAAATATAAAACCCATAGAAAATCCCAACTTCCTAACTTTACAAACACGAAAGTTATGGCATTTCCGATCAATCAGTTATATGGCAGCTATAGGATATAGTCGGCCGATCCCGGCCGTTCCGACTTATATACTGCGTGCAAAGGAAAGAAGGGTGTGTGCAAAGTTTCAATCCGATAGCTTTAAAACTGAGAGACTAGTTTGCGTAGAAACAGACAGACGGACAGACGGACAGACGGACAGACGGACATGGCTATATCAACTCAGGAGGTGATCCTGATCAAGAATATATATACTTTATAGGGTCGGAGATGTCTCCTTCACTGCGTTGCACACTTTTGACCAAAATTATAATACCCTCTGCAAGGGTATAAAAAGGGTGTAACTAAGTTTCATGATAAGCAAAAGCATAAACTTAAACTTCAATTTAACTGAGTAGAACTAAAATAAAACATCAAGCTTCTTTCTTAAAATAATTAAAAAGAGGAAAACTATTGCAATCAATAATATGAATAAATCGTTAGAGTTCTTTAATTTAATTTCATTTTGACCTATTTTGTGATCTTTTTTATATATTGTGTCTAAAGTATAATTCACTTTCCTTTCATTCAACAACTGTGTTCATCTCATAGAAACCTTAATAGATAAAATCAGCTCCTGTATTTTAAATACTTTCAATATGTTGTAAGCATTTTTTTTCAAAGGATTTCGCAATTCCGGAAAAAACGCCGCACAAAAGCCCCGTTAATATATATTTTTCCACTTGTGCAATCGCGCGCCAATGAAATGAAAGTATTTTTTCGATTTTGTTTTTTAGTTAAGCTTTTTGGCAGATTTTTCATCACACACCAAAAGCAATTATGCAACGCGCTTGGCGATGGCCAACCAAAAAATAAAAGTAAAATCAATGTCACAATCAAGTTGCATAAATGAAGCTCAGCATCTGCTTTAAACTCTCTCCAAAAAATAAAATCGATTGGCATTTTCAATTCCCCTAGTTTTTTTTTGGGTTTTTTCTTACATTTTACATCAACGTTTACATAATTCAAGCAATATGCACCGTTTTCGAAACACGTTTTTCACCGCCCGTTAAACACCAAAGAAAGTGAAATCGAAAGAAGAAACTTTACCAATAAACGTGATGCTGCAATAATGCTTATAAAATATAGGCAAGTCTACAGAAAATATGTAAATAAAAGTATGTGAGCAAGAAATGAAAGCAAAAGTTGACCATGAAATCTGGGCAGAAAAGACTTGACAAGATTTGCATATTCATGAAGTTCATCTCGCGGATATTTCCGATATATGAGCTACACGGCAAACAAAATGTCTTTAACCGGACTTTAAAAAGTTGGTCATTTCGGTTCGATTTTCATTGTGTTAATTTTTTTAAAATACTTTAAATGGTGTTTAAAAAACTTAGCCAAGTTACATATATATTAAAATACTATTATATTTTAAAATCAGAATAAAAAAATAAATTAAAAATGTGTCATATAAAGTAACAATTTGGTTATGTTAAAATAGTCATATTATTTTTTTTATAAATGAATACCATACTTTAACATCAGTTACTGGGCGCTATCTTTATTTGGAGTGCAGACTCAAACTTAGATTTGAAGCAATCCCAGCGTGGAAGCTTCCTGATAGTTCTATGACGTTCGGTGTATTTTCGCACAGTGTATGTAAATGTATGCCGATGGCTGGCTTTCTGGCTGAATTGCTAATTAGCATGAGCGAATAGCCGAGCGAGAGCTGCAAAAGTTGCCGCTAATCAAGTTGGAGGTCAGTTCGGCAGTTGTCGTCTGTCAGTTGGCAGACTTTTTATTACGCAACTGGGAGAAGTGGAGGTGGAGTGGCCAGAAACTGGATGCCCAGCCAGCCAACCAGTTTTCCCGACAGGACAGCTGACCTTGCGAGCCGACAGGGTGAAAACCTGCTGGGAAAACCGCTGGCAGTGTTACCTAATTCGTACAGGAAGCGATGTGCCCAGCTTTAAGTAGTCGGTTTTTCATTTTCCAGCACTCAAACAAATAAACGAATACTCAGGAAGAGACCATCGCAGCTCTGGCTCTATGATTTCTTTCACTCGCACGAAGCACAGTAACAAAAATTGCAAAAAAAAAATATAAAACATATACATATATATGGTGAATGCGGAAGTGATATATATTTCTGGTAGATCGCTCGTCATTTGGCCAGAAACTTACCATTAACACTGGCTATTACTAGCAGCACGGCCACCAGACACGGCCGCAACATCTTGATTCTGGCTACGTGTACGGATCGAAGTTTATATATCCCGATTCCGGAACGAGATATATGGCGAGTGTGCGCGAAAGAGAGAGGGAGATCGGGGCGGGCGAGTAAAAGCGAGACGTCCGCAACGCGCAAATGCAAACCGCCAACTGATCGAGACCCACTGCCAAGAAACCGAAAGAAGCCAACGCGAACTCTCGGGCCAAAACCACTCGATCGATCGTGGCCAACTGCTCGGCGGCTCAGCGGATCAGAGGTGCTGCGGATAAAGGTTCGAAAAGGCCAAACAAAATTGGTTTCGAAAGGCTCACGAAAATCAAAGTGAATATATGAAATATTTTTGCAGATATAAACTAAATTTGCCATACAGGAAATTGCTATTGCGTTGGTCTAAATATTTACTTCCTTATTAATGAAAGTTTAAAGTGTATACCTACAAATGAATTATTGTAATAATTTTAATATATTTTGCCATTTCTTCTTCTCTTTTGTTAACAAACAGTGTAATAATAATTTTAATACATTTTGCCAAGCATTTTTGAACTGTTTTGTTAAAAATATTTCAACAGCTGAAACATGCAAATGGAATCGTTTGCTAAAACTCTCGATTGGGTTCGTTATCAATTAATAATCGAACATAAAATTGGTTCAAGTAAAAAAAAATTAAAAATAATATTTGTAGTTTATTATGACTTACTATGACTTTTATTTTGATATAAAACTAAATGGACTTCAATGAAACCCCCGCTTTATGTAAAAGATTTTTTTTAATGTTGAGTATCTAAGCATTTAAGTTAAAATTAAAGCTTTGTTGCAGTAATTTGTAGAAAAGAGGCTAAGCCTGAAAAGTGACTATGAGTTAATGATTAATGCCGCCAAATGAACAGACCTCGTATTTGAGCACTGGGGTGCGGGCCCCTTACGCGATGGATTGTATTCTCCATTGTTCGATCGCTCAGTTAGCAATCTCAGTGGCGATCTCAATTCACTTTCGTTTGAACTGGTTGTCGGATGATTCAACTCGACTCAGTTTTATTCGATCCGAGTCGAGTGGATTCGAGTGAGTTTGGAAACGAAACAAAAGCCGGTTTTGGGAAGCGGCGAAGTCTGCGCATGCGTGCGCATTTCAATGAGCCCGCGGGCCAAACAATCTGACTGTGGATGTGGCGGCGACTGAAGCCGACTCCAAATTATGCATATTGGCCATCCCATTATGCTGGCCATCCATATGCATGACAGGCTGCCCATCCACCAATCAGCCCAATCAGCCGAAGTCGGCGATGGAACAAGTTCTCGGTCTTCTCGCCCATTTCGATTGTCGGCCACGTTTGCATACTAATCGAATGCTAATCGCGGATAACAGTTAACAGATATGTAGACCCCTTCTTGGAAAATAATAAAATCCAAGTCACATCGGCGGGGGTGGGTGAATTAAATAGACATATACCCACATCGCTGGTATTATTGTCATTAAACTTCAAGAAACGTACACGCAAATAAATATTGTTCAAAATGTTAAGCCTAACTAAAGATTTCAAGCTAATATTTTTATATTTTTAATTGTTTGATGCCCAAATTAAAATGTTTCGTAAAAAAATTTTAGCTCCAAGAGCAAAACTCGAGGATAAGAAGAACTTGGATAATTTTTTAAATCAAGTTTATGTACAAAGGATTTATGTATACGAATAAATTCTCATATAACAAGTAGCAAAAATGTATCTCGCTTGCCTTCTATAAATAATTATTTCTTTTATATTTTAATTGAGAATTATTTTTCTCCCTGTAGAGTACTTTATTGGCTTCATTGCGTCTGAGTGCATAAGTGAAGGGCAATTGTCGCGTTTTGATTCTCGATTCTTGGCCACATTTCGCTGGCAGACTTTCTGAGACTGACAAACCAGTTAGTCGAATGTTAATCAGTTGTCTAGAACTTGTAGAAGCTAAACAAAACCAAAACAAACAAAAATGCAACAAAATAAATATTTGAAAATACAAATATTTATTTTCAATTTTTATTAGACATGGGAAAACTTTTTATGTATTAGATTATTAGAAATTCAAAAATGTTTTATGAATGATTATTAGCGAAAATATGATTGTCTTTGTTATATTTAAATTGCTTGAAAATCCTACTAGTATAAATTAAGCTTTAAATTTAGGAGAATATACAAAAAATTACGGGACAAGAATTTATGGATGCCACAAGCAAACTGGTCATGAAATATATATATAAATATATATATATATATTATACTATGCTGGCATATCAAACGAACTTTCAATTTTAGTTAAAATGTCAACAGAACTTGAATTAATTTGCGTTTATTGTTTGTTATTTCGTGGTATTTCAAACGATTTGAGTTCGTGCTTTTGTTTTTTTTATGCACGAATAGAAATTTCAATTGAAACACAGATTAGTCTTCCTAAAAATATTTGTTTTCCGTTTGGAATTATGCCATTTTAATTTTGTATGATAATCCTTGTATAGAAAGCCACTTTTCAGGTGGAAGGGAAAGTATTCAGCTTGGTGATTCTCTCAAACAAATAGTCAAGATTACATGTAAATATGTGAACAGCTTTAGTTTCTCTGCATAGTAAATAAATACACTCGTGAATGTTTTTGGACTCGTTCAATTTCCATTTCGTTTTCGGTGGAATTATGTGCATTTTTCGGTGGCTTCCAAAAACTATTTTCCTCAGAGTGGGAACGAATGGCTTTTCACTCCAGCCTCCACACACTTACTGTGACAGAAAGTTTTGTTTTGTACATTTTTATGAATATTCAGTCACACACATTCAAGCCCTTGCGTACAGTACGTTTCCTAAATATAAGGCCAATAATTTTGTGACTTCAAACTTTTTAAAAAGTGATGAATACTTTTTGAAACACTAAAAAAATTAAATAAATTTTAAAAATTACTAAGGACATAAGTATTAGAATTTATCAGAATTTATGCCTTACATTTTCGTCCGAAACTGTGTTTATGCGTATGGACAACAAACAATTTTTGGCCATTTAAGCCAATAAATATGTAAATTTTTCAAAAATTTAATTAAATTTACTCACAAAGAGCTGAGCGCCGCTAACTGCGGCGAAAGTTGTGGCCCCGCCCCCCATTTCCCCATCCGGAGGCGGAGGAAAATAGTAGCAGTAGAAAGGAGAAGAAATGGAAAAGTATTTTTTGCGGAGATCCATGGCTGAGTAGTTTCGTTGAATGCGAGAGAATAAAAGTTGGCAAACGTATGCAAATATCTATCGCAGGCGCTGAGTTGAGCGGATCCCGGTTTTTGAGTTCCGACTCTGCAGGTGCCAGATGCTTGACGGACGGATGGACCGATGGACGGATGGACCGATGGACGGATGGACGGATGGACTACGGCCGGAGAAAGAGTGCCGGAATGGAGACATGCACTTAAAATAAATAATAGCCAAATGGGAGAATAAATAATGTGTTATTTACTCTGTCCTATAGCTGTTAAAAAAACAGGTTTGATTAAAATTAATGATGTTGCGAGCAACCTAGTTTATTCATTATTTTATAAGTACTATTTTTTCATATTATTTTTCACATTCAAAATAAAAAAAATATTTTCATTTTTGCATACAACTTTTATGAAAGCTTTAAACAAATTAATTAAAATATTGTTTCATAAACAAACCGTAGTTAGTGTTTTTTTCACAAAAATAAAATTATGCTAACTTAAATAGGTAGTAAATGATATAAAAACACAAACTAAAAGTAAAAATACTTAAGAAGAATTGATTTGCCATACAAAACACAAAATAAATAAATTTCTTTCCGTGTATCCTATAGTCTGTGGCAAAAGTTACGAAAGTTTTTTTTCGGGAGTCTGACGATGCCGATGATAAATGAGAATTGTCAGAGAATTTAACGATTTTGACTGACAAAGAAGCTGACGAAGAAGCGGATGAACTTTCATAGTTTCATGGTGTTTCTGCCGGCGAACAACAAAAGGCGATGAAAATGCAAGTGAGCGGACATGGAAATTAAAATCAACTGATGGGACAAACGCATGGCTGCGCAGGAATACAATGGTGGCTAGAGTACTCTTCAGTATTGTCCTCCCTTTTGGACATACTCCATTAACAATTACTCAATTTTCCAGCGATTTTGGCCTTTTGTTTGGTCGATTAATAAACCAAAACAAGTTGCTGGTAAACGGAATTTTTGCACTGGTAAAAAAAGCAAAATGAATAATTTTTTGTTTAGTAAAAGTTGTTAATCATACAAAATCCAACGTCATCCATCTTAGTTTTTACTAGTAAAATAAGTAGCGATAAAGGGCAAGGGAAGGGAAAAATAGTCATTGCTTTGGATGTGCGTATTTCGGTTAAGTTAGAACAAGAAAGCCCTCATAAATTTACTTTTGCGAGGTCAGAACAAAAACTCCTTAAAAATGTTTTTTATTGCCAAGATCCCGAAACTAATCAACTCGATTGGTACCCCTTTTGAAAAATATATAAATCAGCTCGATTTGTCGGTTTTTAATCAAAACCCTGGAAAAAAAAATGGTCGTATGACATGTTGGAATGACATACTTCGTTGAATTCGTTATAAAATTTCCAATCCAATTGTAAAAAAAAATATTTTTCTCAAAAAATTTTGGGGGTACTCCTTAAGAAAATTATTTTGGCCGAAATTCGTAAAAATCAGCTCGATTTTTTAATTGAAACCATGGAAAGTATTGCTTTAATTTTGGAATGTTATACCTCGTTGGATTCGTTATAAAATTTTAAATAAAGTGGCATTCACAAAAATCATGAAAAATGTATTGAGAAATACAAAATAATAACAACAACCACAAATTTAATCAATTTGATCCGATTGTTGCTATATGCAACTATATTGTTTTAGACATTCGAACTGCGACGTTTTAAACTTTCAACACATTAAGACACCGTGTGCTAAAGTTCGATTGGTTACTTATGACATCACTTAATTTAAATTTATCTAAAGGCAATTTCTTATTTTTAAATTTGGCACTTCAAAAATGAGTGGTATTGCGGTTTCAAAGTGCATTCATTACTTAATGCACCCTTATTAGCCATGATAAACCAATAAATAATATTACTATTTTTATTTCAAATAAAAATTAAAAGCCTGGATAAACATTTAATCGATGAATCTCGCACATGATTAA